TTTAATGCATCTGCAAATGATGATAAAAAATGTAATGCGTGTTTTTATCTGTCTGCTAGGGTGTTGAAAACAAAGGGGTTCCAAGACAGACCTTTTTGGGCACTGAGTTTTTTTTACCTCGCTGATGCGGATATTGTGTTTTGTGTGTTGGGAAAAAAATCCATCTGCCTACCTTTCCTCATAATCCCCCAGGGCCCCTCATTTTGTGCATTATAAAACCCAGATCACTTTTTTGTTAAACCCCTTTTTGCAAAATCTGTGTGAACACATTTGCATTTTGGTCGTCTTCCAATCCCCCATAATCCTTCATAATTCCAAAGCTGTGACAGGCATGATCATCCTGCCAAAAACCCATGCTTTTTTGGGTTTATGCGGCCCAAAATTTGTAAACTCCCATCCATCACTCTTTCAAAGTTTTTTTTATGACAAGTTAGGGCACTGTCGTTTTTTTTTATTTTTCTGCTCAAACACCTCCCTTATAAAAAGGGAAAAACCAGTCTGCATCGAAAGCCCAATCAGTATTTCAGTCTGCTTTTTCAATATTTATTTTTTCGAGAATAAAAACAAAGAGCGATAGAAAAAAATTTTTTTTTAGCCTGGGCAAGGTAAAAAGTTCATAGTAGGTGAATAAGTCATTTGCAACTTAGGGGTTTTCATGTCTAACTCCAACTATTTCTCCCTCCTTTAAAAAAATAGCCACAAAAAAAAATAAAAAAAAAAAAAAACTAAATCATTTCAAGTTTGCAGACAAAAAATAAAAATGAAAAAGAAAAAGTCACTTCAAAAGATGGAAAAAAATTTCATAAAGTCCCTCCAGAATGAAAAAAAAAATAATTATTCAAAAAAATTAATTATTATTGGAAAGAAATTTTGGGCCCCCAAAAAAAATGGTCAAATTGGGCCATTAAAATTAAAAGGAAATTTTAAACAGAGGCCCTATTTGGTTTTCAAAAAAGGAAAAAATAAAAGCGTTTTCATGGGTAACCAAAGGGAAAAAAAGTTCATACGTACACACCCCAAAACCCTTTTTCTCCTTAGAAAAAAATTGACCCAAAATAATAGAGCTTTGGCAAAAAAAAATTTTCCCTTCCATTTGAAAATTTTTAAGAAAAAAATTTGATTTTTAAAACTCCCCTTTTTTTTTTTCATTCTCAAAAGGGGGCCAAAAAATTCTGGGTTTTTTTTTTTAAGGACCATACCCAAAAAAAAAGAACGTTTAAAAATTTTTAATAATTTTTTAAAAAAATTTGAATGTCCTTTTTTTGGCAATGCCCCAAAAAAATGTTTTCCCTTTTGGGGTTTGGGGAATTCCCAAGTTTTAATACAAACTTTTTCTTTTTTAAAACCTTCCCCTTTTTAACCCCCTTTTTCTTAAAAATTTTCCCCTTTTTTTTTTTTTTTTTTTTTTTTTTTTTTTTTTTTCCCCTACTTTGGCTTCTGCTGTGAAAAAATAAAAGCATTTAAGTATCGTCTGCATTTTTTTAAAATTAGTCCAAAAGTTGCAAGGATTTTTGTACTTGACCTTTTTGAACTTTTGTTGATGTGGGGTTTTGCAGGTCTGAAATTTTCACCAGCCCCCACTCTGGGGCCATAGCATTACTAAAAACTGCAAATCACGAACAAAAATTTTTCCAGTTATATACATCCAACCTTCATGTAAAATCTGTCGAAACTGGAGAGGGCCAGGTGGAGATAATTTTCAAAATTGGTCCCCACTTGACAAGAATGCCCTTTCCTTTAACCCCTTTAGGGACCAGACCCCCCCCCCCCAATCTGAAGTGTCCCCGGGGTCCAAGAATTTTCAAAAAAATTTTTTTTTTTTTATTTTTTTTATTATTATTATTATTATCACATGGCCAATTCCCACCAAGGCAGGGGGGGCCAGAAAAAAAAAAAACTTTCACCTCATTCACTTTCCCTCATGCTTGCCAGAAGGGGGCTTTACATACATTTTTAAAATGAACTAAAAAACCCCTCCTTCAAATGAGGCACTTTATTCCCATCTCCGGGCTCAAGTCCCCCCCAGGGGGTTTCCCTGAAAACCTTCAAAAAAGTTACTTTCCCACACTCCAACAGCCGTCAAGTATTAAAAACCATTTTTCCCATTTTACTCCTATCAAACACCTCACCATGCCTGGAATCCAAACCCCTCGACACAAAACCTCCTTTATCCCCCCCTCAACCTTTCATAGCTACCCTACCCCATTTTCCTTCACTACAGACTGATACACTCTTGAAGTCCCTTCTGTTTTTTGCTCCATTCCCTTTTACATGTCCGAAACCCCCTCAACAACCCTTCTCACCCTTGGGAAACAGTTTTTTTAATCCCGCACCTCCTCCTAACTTCCAATACGAATTCTCTGCATTTTTATTAGGTACCATGAGAGGTGAGTCAAAGGTACTATGGGGAGTTTGGGACCATGGGTGGTACAATGGAAAACCCCCAATTTATTTGGTAAACCAATGAGGGAATACAAAGGAAACATGGGAGGGGTTAGGACCATGAAGGGAGTATGCTTACAGGAGGTGAAAAAATGGAAAACATGGTGGTGTTAGGTACCAGGGAGGGAGTACAAAATGGTCCAACGGGTGAAAAACCAAGGGGTGTCAGGTACCCGGGAGGGGAGTAAAAACCCCAAAAGGGGTTGGACCAGGGGGGACAATTTCTTTGGTGTTAAACCATGGGGGGTAGTCAAAAGGTAAACCCATGGGGGGGTTAGGACCATGGGGGGTGAGTACAAATTACCGGGGGGAGGTAAAGGGGGAAAAAAATGGTCCAGGGGGGTTTATCCATTTTCCCAGAATTTCCAAATTACTTACCATGGATATAAAAGTACCATGGGAGGATCCCCCGGGCCCATAGGGGGGTTCCCTTGGGTGGTTCAGAACCATGTTTATGTTCAATTTTCCACATTTTTAGGGGGCCATGGGAGGGTGATAAAATGGGCCAATTTTATACCATGGGATGATACAATGGAAAACCCGGTTTGGTTTTATGTCCCCAAGGCGAAATACAATTACCCCTTTAAAAACAGGGGGGTGAAGACAAAGGAATGGGAGGTTTAGGGACCCCGGGTGGGGGGTTTGGTATCAGGGAGGGGTACAATGGACCATTGGGGGTGGTTAGGGACAAGGGAGGTGAGTACAATGGTACCATGGGTGGTTTAGGACCATGGGTGGTGTTAGGGATAAGGGAGGTATCATGTACCCCAAGGGTGGTGTTAGGTAACAGGGGGGTAGTACAATGGTTACCGGGGGGAGTACAATGGTTTTCCCTGGGGGGGATACAAAAGGTCCATGGGGTGGTTAGGTACCTGGGAGGCGAAAAAAAATGGACCATTTTGGGGTTTTGGTACCAAAGGAGGCGAGACAATTACCAAGGGGTTTAAGGGTACCTGGGGTGTCAGGTTTTCCATGGGGGTGTCGTCCATGGGTGGTTATACCATGGGTGTGTCAGGTACCATGGGTGGGGGTTAGGGACCATTTGGTGGGGGCAGGTCCATGGGTGGTGAAAAGGGACCCCTTGGGGGGGTGTCAGGTTTCCCTGGGTGGGTTTGGTACCATGGGGGTGTTTGGTACCAGGGGGTGTTAGGTACCAGGGGGGTGTTAGGTACCATTTTTAAATACCTGGGCAGGCAACAGGTCCAACATATTATAACAGTAAGTGAGGAGGGTCAGTTAGTATGAAGTGTGAGGCACAGGTAAAAATTGACCCAAATACCCCCAAAAATTTGGGCACAGGGTACCAAAAAATAAGAAAGGGACCTTGGCCCCGGTTATAAACGGTCTGGAAGGTTGTGGCGGGCAAAAAGGGACCAACATAATGCGACAAGGGACCAACAACTACACACAGGTACCAATAAGGTACCTATGGCCCAGGTTATAATACGGTCAGTGGGAAGGTTGTGGCGGGCACAGGTACCAACATACTGCGACACAGGTAACAATATACTGACACAGGTACCAACATACTACGACACAGGTACCAATAAGGTACCTATGGCCCAGGTTATAATACGGTCAGTGGGAAGGTTGTGGCGGGCACAGGTACCAACATACTGCGACACAGGTAACAATATACTGACACAGGTACCAACATATTACGACACAGGTACCAATAAGGTACCTATGGCCCAGGTTATAATACGGTCAGTGGGAAGGTTGTGGCGGGCACAGGTACCAACATACTGCGACACAGGTAACAATATACTGACACAGGTACCAACATACTACGACACAGGACAAAAAAGGTACCATGGCCCCGGTTTATAAAACGGGCAGTGGGAAGGTTTTTGGCGGGGAAAAGGTACCAACATACTGCGACCACATAACAATAATTTTTTGACACAGGTAAAACCAACATACTCACACGGGACCCCAATAAGGGACCTTTTGGCCCAGGTTATAATACGGGCAGTGGAAGGGTTTTGGGGGCACAGGGACCACCATACTGCGACACAGGTAAAATATACTGACACAGGGACCAAAAATTACGACACAGTACCCAAAAAGGGTACCTTTTGGGCCCCGGGTTAAAAAAGTAGTGGGAAAGGTTGGGCGGCAAAAAGGTACCAACATACTGCGACACAGGTAAAAAATTACGCACATACCAAAAATACTAGACACAGGTACCAATAGGCCATGCCCAGGTTTAATACGGGCAGTGGGGAAAGGGTTTTGGGGGGGCACGGTACCAAAAATACGCGACACAGGTTTAAAAATATACTGACACAGGTACCAAAAATATACGACAACAGGTACCAAAAAAGGGTACCTATGGCCCAGGTTATAATACGGTCAGTGGGAAGGTTGTGGCGGGCACAGGTACCAACATACTGCGACACAGGTAACAATATACTGACACAGGTACCAACATACTACGACACAGGTACCAATAAGGTACCTATGGCCCAGGTTATAATACGGTCAGTGGGAAGGTTGTGGCGGGCACACGCCTTCTTTTTACCACATACACTAAATATTAAGTTAATATGACGTACCTTGTGGTAATTGTGGTAGGTTATAAGTGTTGTTGTATATTGTATTTATATCCTGAGTTAGTTTTTCACTGTTTCTTGAGTGGAACACTTTTCACGAATACACAAAACTTTTTCCATTAAAAAAACAATGTAAAACCCCCAAATGTCGATCCACCCCCACACTAGTTGCAGTTTTTTTTTACAGATTTGCCGTTTACCGCAGCAGTCTGAGCCTCACCTGACACTATACACTGTACGTCAACCACTGCGTCAAACATGAGTGCCTAACACTTCTTTGTTTACATTTTAGAGAAGATAGAAAAAATTACTTTAAAGTTTGTCTAGCAGGGGGCCATCTTGGGTATTCAAACACGGGCTCACACCCCAGGTTTTTGTCTCCTGGGCCAGCGCAACACAGGGATCTCTTTTTTCCCCAAAACTCACTACTCTCACTAACAAATTTTTCAATTTATCTTTTTATATCTTCAAACAATTGTGAAAAATATAAATAATGAAAACTTTAAAATTTTTACTTATTTTTTAAAATAAACTGCTAAATTGAAAAAGCTTTAAAAAAATTAAAAAAAGAGGACCTTCTAAATTTTTATATTTGAAAACATTTTTCTTTGCTTTTTTCTACAATAAATATATTAAATTTTAAAATTATATATCATAAAGATCTCTAACACACATATAAAAAAGTATCTTTTTTTAAAAAAACAGTGAAAAACCAGTAAGATACGGCGCCCATAACACTTTCATCAATAATACATAATAACATTGATAACAAATAAAAAAAATTTTTTTTATAAATTAACACTGAACTTCAATTTTTTAGATGAGGATAAATAATAGGTTTTGTTTTATCAACAAAATTATATAATACCACCTTAATTTCATCTAACACCTTAGTTACATCTAACACCTTTGTTTACTCTAACACCTGTATTTTTCATCTAACACCTGTAGTTTACATTAACCCTGTATGTTTACATCTAACCCTGTATGTTACATCTAACACCTTATGTTACATCTAACACCTTATGTTTTTCATCTAACACCTGTATGTTAATCTAACACCTGTAGTTTCATTAACACCTGTATGTTACATCTAACACCTGTATTTTTTCAACTAAAACCCGTATTTACATTAAACCCACCTGTAAGTTCATCTAAAACACCTGTATGTTACAACTAACACACCGTATTTACATTTTAACACACCTGTATGTTTTCACTAACACACCGTAGTTACTCAACACACCTTTGTTACAACAAAAACACCTGTATTTACATCTAACACACCGTATGTTACATCTAACACATAAGAACTAAGAACATAAGACATAAAACAAAAAAACCTGCAGAAGGCCTACTGGCCCATGCGAGAGGTCCCAATCCCTACCGGCTTAAGCCAATCACCCCAACCTAGTCAGGTCAGGGCACATTGACTTTAAGGAGGAACACGGCAACCCCACCTGTTTAGCACAACTATCAGGTTTCCCCAAATCACAAACCCCCCCCATCTATTTATGTATTTTTCCAAACCCATTTTTAAAACTACAAACGTTTTTGGCCCCTATAAAACGACTTTGGGAGTTTGTTTTTCCACTCATCCACAACTCTATTACCAAACCGTACTTTCCCAAAAACCCTCCTAATCTGAATTTTTTTCCCAACTTAAAAAACCCTTCTGCGAGTCCTTCTAGGGAGATATTTTTTTTAGCACACATTTACTCCCCTTTATTTATTTCCCGTCCCTTTTTCCCTTATAAACCTCAATCATATCCCCCCTAATTCTACGTCTTTTCTAAGAGTGCATTTTCCCAGGGCCTTAGTCTACCTCATGGGGAAGGTTTCTGATACATGGGATCATCTTTGTCATCCTCCTTTGTACATTTTCCAGAGAATTTATATCCATTCTGTAATACGTGACCAAAAACTGTGCAGCATAATCTAAATGAGGCCTAACCAAGGATGTATAGAGTTGAAGAACAACCTGAGGACTCCTATTATTTATGCTTCTTGATATGAAGCCAAGGATTCTATTAGCTTTATTGCGAACACTTATGCACTGTTGTCTTGGTTTTCAGATTACTGCTAACCAGAACTCCTAAATCTTTTTCGCAATCCGTATATTAAGATCTACATTATTTAGTTTATATGTTGGCATGGTTATTGTCCTGTCCAACATTTAGACTTTGCATTTGTCTATATTAAACTGCACTGCCACTTCTCCGACCACTGCATCAGTCTATTCAAATCTTCCTGGAGTGCTCGAATGTCCCGTCAGAATGAATTCGACGGCCTATTTGTGTCATCGGCAAACTTGCCGATGTCGCTCTTTATGCCCTCATCTATGTCGTTTATGTAGATTGTGAACAGCAGGGGGCCCCAACACTGACCCCCTGTGGAACAACCGCTCGTGACGCTTCCCCACTCTGATTTCTCCCCATTTATGCAAACTCTCTGCTGCCATTGTCCAACCATGCCTCTATCCAGGAAAAAATTTCTCCTCCTATTCCATGTGCTTTAATTTTCCTCAATAGTCTCTGATGTGGGACCCTGTCAAAAGCCTACTGAAGTCCCCCATATACACAATATCATATTCATTACCATGATCTACCTCCCTCAATACCTTAGTGAAAAAAGTTAATAAATTCGTAAGGCAGGAACGCCCCTTTGTAAAAACCATGCTGAGATTCGTTTGATTAATTTAATGCTTTTTCAAGGTGGCTAGGGAACTGCCTCGGCAATTATTGATTCCATAAATTTTTCCCACTATGGAGGTTAGGCTTATTGGTCTATAGTTTCGAAGCTAAGGACCTGTCACCTGTTTTGAAAATAGGTATCACAATTTGCCATTTCCACTTATCTGCACCATGCCAGTTTGTAGTGATATGTTGAAAAGATTAGCCAAAGGTGTGCTAAGCTCCTCTTTACATTCCTTTAGAACCCTTGCATACAGTTCATCAGGGGCCCGGGGATTTGTTAGTGTTTTAATTTATCTATTTGCCTAAGGACCATGTCACTTGTGACCCTAATATGCACAGTTTAATTATCGTCCTGTTCTACATAATTTATCATTACTGGAAAATCGCTGGTATCCTCCTGTGTAAAAACTGAGAGGAAGTATGGGGTTAAAAATCTACACATTTCCTTATCACTGTCAGTGAGCTGACCCAGGAACTTTTGAGTGGGCCTATCTTGTCCCCTGATCTTACTTCTGTATACCTGAAAGAACCTTTTGGGTTTTTCTTCGATCCTTGCCTTTAACCCATAATCTCTATTTGCTTTTTTTAATTTTCCCTTTTTTTTTTTTTCTCTCTTTAACTGAATATAGATTTCTTAA